ATTTGTTCAACTATTTCCTAGGTTGACTGAACAATCATCAAGGCTGTAACATACCATACAGAATGCTATCATTACGGTTGCTTCATGCTAGGTTCTTTTACTGGATGACATGAGTCATTCGAGCATGGCACTGAAGAGAGCGACCAGGTGTTTGAGCTCAGTAAGATAGCAAAATCAGCCAACTCTATTCCTTCATCAAAACCAATATATCCACGAGTTCCATGCGAGAGAGAATAACACCCTTGAAAATATCCCGAGTTTATAGATAGATTGACCTGTTCTTTTCTCGATTGACCGTATCAACCCAACGGACCTGGCAGCCCACAGGGCACGAAAGAGGCTCCCACCGCCCACTCACACTCCACTGCACAAACCGAACCCCACTGGTATCATATCGCCTCCGTTTTCCAAGCAAGCAAATTTCATCCAACAACGGAACCCTTGATTATCACCATCCACTCTCGGACTAAGACCTTCCTTTAACCCCAAGGATTCTCCATCTCTCTGTGCGTAAACAATCAAAGGGTTTTTATCGCAATCATGGCTACCAACGGTGATTTTACCGACGATGAATCGCAGCCTGGCTCTCCCATGCTGGATGCGGCGAACGGCCAGGATGACATTGAAGAACAGGAGCCTCTTGACGTGGAAGAGAAGCCTCTCAAGTCTGCGATGAAGAAAGGCTCAGCGCCCCCTGCTCCTCAGCCGAAGCGTCCAGAACTCCCCGAGCAGCCCGACCCAGAGACTCTCGATTTGTCGACACTCACGCCTCTGTCGCCCGAGATCATTGCGCGCCAGGCCACAATCAACATCGGTACTATCGGACACGTCGCTCACGGCAAGTCGACTGTGGTGAAGGCTATTTCGGAGGTGCAGACTGTCCGGTTCAAAAATGAGTTGGAGCGTAATATTACCATCAAGCTTGGTTATGCCAACGCGAAGATCTACAAGTGCGACAACCCTGAGTGCCCGCGTCCGACGTGCTTCAAGAGTTACAAGAGTGAGAAGGAGGTCGACCCTCCATGTGAGAGAGAAGGATGCACAGGTCGTTACAGATTGCTGAGACATGTCTCGTAAGTAGAACGAGTTTGCCTTCGCTTGTCGAAGGGGTCTAATAGCTAATCCTCGTTACTCGCAGGTTCGTCGACTGCCCTGGGCACGATATTCTCATGAGTACCATGTTGTCAGGTGCCGCCGTCATGGACGCCGCTCTTCTGCTGATTGCCGGAAACGAAGCTTGCCCCCAGCCTCAGACTTCGGAGCACTTGGCGGCTATTGAAATCATGAAGCTTAGCCATATCATCATTCTGCAAAACAAGGTTGATCTGATGAGGGAAGACGGTGCTCTGCAACATTACCAATCAATCCTGAAGTTCATTCGTGGTACTGTTGCCGATGGCTCTCCTATCATTCCCATCTCTGCTCAGCTCAAGTACAACATCGACGCTGTCAACGAATACCTTGTCTCGCACATCCCGGTTCCCGTCCGTGACTTCACTGCTTCCCCTCACATGATTGTCATCCGTTCCTTCGACGTCAACAAGCCCGGTGCGGAGATCGATGAGTTGAAGGGTGGTGTTGCAGGTGGCTCTATCCTCACTGGTGTGTTGAAGCTGAACGACGAGATTGAGATTCGCCCCGGTCTCGTTACCAAGGATGAGAACGGAAAGATTCAGTGCCGCCCCATCTTCTCCCGTGTCGTCTCGCTCTTCGCTGAGCACAACGATCTGAAGTTCGCTGTCCCTGGTGGTCTGATCGGTGTCGGAACCCGTGTCGACCCTACCCTGTGCCGCGCCGATCGTCTCGTTGGTTTCGTCCTGGGCCACCGTGGCCGTTTGCCGGCCATCTACACTGAACTGGAGGTCAACTACTTCCTCCTGCGTCGTCTGCTCGGTGTCAAGACCGCCGACGGCAAGCAGGCCAAGGTCGCCAAGCTCACCAAGAACGAGGTCCTCATGGTTAACATCGGCTCTACGGCCACTGGTGCTAAGGTTATGGGTGTGAAGGCTGATGCTGCCAAGCTCAGCTTGACCAGCCCGGCTTGTACAGAGATTGGAGAGAAGATTGCTATCAGCCGGAGAATTGACAAGCATTGGCGTCTGATCGGCTGGGCCAATATTGTCGCGTAAGTCATCCTGACTCCCTATCGTTGATATGGATTCATATAACTAATCTATTACAGTGGTAACACTCTTGAGCCCATTCTGAACTAGACAAAAGTCGCTTGTCAGGTCAATTGGGTCAACCCGCTCGTGGAGCTGTTGAGGGAGACATTAGGGGTCCCAGCTCACTCGCATTCCCCGATTCTTCGCCAGCAGACCAAGGCGGTGGAAGCAGCTGAAAAGAAGAGGTTGGTTACTCGAGGTCACGGAAGAGCGTCGGGATTCACTCCAGTCTAGAGAACGCAGGAAGCTCCGGCGTTCGTCTCTCCTGCTGTTGGAGCTCTGAGGAAGTTGTTTACGAGATGCAAAGACGGCCGTACTTAAGGGGTCATTAAAAGATTAGAGGCTGTCTGTTTTGGTTGAGACATGGGTGCATAAAAGGATGAGTCACGTTGATGAAGTGCCACTACTTCTGTGATGTGTGTTATGAAGCTGTTCTTATGTGAAAACTTTCTATTTTCTTTTATATATTTGTTGCTTTGTCTCCTATTGTGGAGTACATATGTAGATGCTTTGCCAGGTAACCGATGGAGTATCTAAGCGAACAACAGGATGGGGAGTAGTCAACCTTATAACCAAAGTTGAATATGCGATATATACAGAATAGACTATCAAACCAGTTATGGCCCTTGACCTGAAAGATCACATCCATTCACGTTCTGAAAAATGTGCTGTTGAACATTCTTTGTTCTGTCAGCTGGAGATGCGGCCAGTTTGCACTAAGTGGTTGTTGACTAAGACATTAAATCACCATCCATCGAGCGGGAGTACTTGCATCTGTCAACACCACAAGGCTGCGAACAACAGGTTACAACACAGCGCCTTTTTCAAATCGCCTGTTGTTGTGCTGAATTTCCAGCCATGTATATCCTTGAGGTAAGCTCCCCGAATTCGTCCCTTTGTAGGCACCTATGTCCTGTTGATATTGTTCATGTTGTACCTTGCTTGCTCAAGCTGACCAAACGATTCTGCCCTTAACAGCAACTAGCGCGTCTTCTGGACCGCCCGTTCTTCCCGTGGAAGAATGTTCTCGTAGGATTCTCTTTAGGTCAATTCATCCTCGAAGGATTCTTGTCCTTCCGGCAATACAAGGTGTTGCAGCGGACAAAGCCACCCAAGGTGTTGGAGAATGAAGTGTCACAGAAAGTCTTCGATCAGAGTCAGGTAAGCAGAGATGGTAATATTGCTATTGTAACGATTGCAGGTCTGACGTGTTCGTCCTTCCCTATAGGCGTATGGTCGCGCAAAAGCCAAGTTTGGTTTCATCTCGGGTCTTTACGGTCAAATCCAGAATCTTGCATTCATCTACAGCGATGTCCTCCCCAAGCTCTGGGGATTGAGCGGTCTCTTGCTAGCCCGGTACTTTCCCTCTCGGTTCCAGGGCGAGATTTCCCAGACGCTTCTGTTCATCTTCGGGTTCAATCTGATCAGCACCATCCTGTCCCTACCAATTTCATACTACAACACCTTCGTTCTGGAGGAGAAGTTTGGCTTCAACAAGCAGACGCTCAAGCTCTGGGTCACAGACATGCTCAAGGGTCAGATGCTGGGAATTGTGTTGGGAACCCCGATCATCAGCGCCGTCCTTAAGATCGTCCAGAAAACTGGCAACTCGTTCTTCTACTACCTCTGGCTCTTTGGTGTCTTCGTTCAGATCTTCGCTATCACCATCTACCCCATTGTCATCCTGCCACTGTTCAACAAGCTCTCGCCTCTAGAACCCGGCGAGTTGAAGACAGGCGTTGAGAGCCTTGCCCGCAAGCTCAAGTTCCCTCTCCATGAGCTGTACGTCATTGACGGCAGCAAGCGGAGTGCTCACAGCAACGCGTACTTCTACGGACTGCCGTGGAAAAAGCACATTGTCATCTATGATACTCTGATTGAGAAGAGCGAGACTGAGGAAGTCGTCGCCGTTTTGAGTCACGAACTTGGTCACTGGAGCCTCGGCCACACTACTAAGCTCTTTGCTATTGCTCAGGTATGTTTTTTACTGAACAGCCTCTTGATATTGCGCCCTTGTGGAGACACAGAAGTGCACAGATGAAGGCTAATGACCTACGTTATAGTCTCACATGTTCTACATCTTCGCCCTATTCTCGGTATTTGTGAACAACAAGTCCCTTTATCAATCATTTGGCTTCCACCAGGAAATGCCCATCATGATTGGATTCCTCCTGTTCTCGGATGCTCTGGCTCCCATGGATGCTGTCGTCAAGCTCTTGATGAACATTCTCAGCCGCAAATTCGAATTCGAAGCTGGTATGATTCCTGTCCTCTAGGACCTCTCTAGAAACAGAAGCTGACTGTGCCACAGATGCCTTCGCCGTGAAGCTTGGGTATTCCGAACAGCTTGCCGCGTCCCTTCTCAAGCTTCAGATCCAGAACTTGAGCACCATGGACGCTGACTGGATGTACGCCAGTTACCACTACTCTCACCCGATCCTATCCGAGCGACTCAAGGCGCTTGGCTGGCAGGGAGGAAAGGTCACCGACGCGAAGATCGAAGATAGCGAAAAGCCGGTCAAGGCAGCTGATCGGGAGCTTTAAACTCAGACCGATTCTCCTCGCTCGATATAAGTCCTTTCTCTCCTGTTTCGTTCCGTTCACGGTGTTAGGTGGCGGCTGGGGTAAAAGGTGTCCGTTGGTTGTAGAGCAAAGGTCGATTTGATTCTAGTATAGCAGCAAACTCCATACCCTGTGTGATGTAATATCATCCAAAAATAAACGCCAATAGCAAGACACGGGTTCTGTTTATTGAGAACCGCAACCAATTGGACGGGAAAATCCATCAGCAGAACGATGCAAGTAATCCAAATGAAGCTGCCAGCCGGTTTCGATCTATGCATCCGCCCCCTTGGCTTTAGCTCTCTTCTCAGCCAAGCGGCGCTCCTTCTTCTTCCTCTTCCGCTCCTCCTTGTCCACGGTATGCTCGTCAGCCTCACCCTCTACCTTCCCAGGCTGCTGCTCTTTCTCCTCATCATCTTCCCCTCGCATCTCCTCCTCGTCGTCATCCATCGCATCATCAGCTGCCACCTGCTCATGCTTGGTCTCCTCCCACACGACATTGTCCCCACTCTCACCCTGCAGCGCCTCACCGGCATTGATCTTCGCCAGAGTCAAATCGCGGCCCAGAACCTCGCCAGCCAGCCCCGCCTGGACGCGCTTCAGATTGTGCAGGATGAGGTTCGGCGCTGCAGCTGTGGTGCGGGAGATAGGGCCGTGCTCGCTGATGCTAGCGTTGGGTTGCAGGGCTGGGTCTGTGGCGGCGCGATCGAGATAGGCGGCGAGGAAGTCATGGGCGGCGGACTGAGAGATGGGTTTTGAGGAGAGAATGGTTGTTGGAGGAAGAGGGGAGGGACCTTGAGACGCCATTTTGGATCTTCTGAGGCTTGTTGTCTGCTCGGTTGATTTCGTGGAATGTAGATCGAATAGGTTTGCGATGAAAATGTAGTGTCGCAAGTGGATGGTCGAGGAAAAAGTCTGGTGGCTTGGCGCAATTAATGAGCGTATATCCCAGCGGCCTTGGGTGGATGATTTCTTTGTAGAGAATAGACTCAAAAAACTTAGGTGTAGCGAAAGCAAAGGAAAGAAGCTCTAACCATGAAATCTTAAAAGCATCAAATTGAAAAGAAATCTGCTGGTCCGTGCGTCTGCCGCGCCGGAGGTTCAATTTTCGTCCGCCTCAACTCAAGTCAGTGTCCGATAGCCTCAGACTCAGCGACCGTCACCGTCTCCGCAATATTCAGCGGTCCATTCAATACGTTTCTGAGGGAAAACGGTCACGAACTACTTAATTATTCAGATTTTGTGAAACTTCGACATGCTCTGCTTCCAATGTAGGGCCGTGCCCTCCGCGCTGCGAACTGCAATGCGCTCCCAGCCGTTCAGGTACGTCCTGTCAATACTCTGAGAGTATCCTTTCGACTTTCGAGAGACTCTACTAGCTATCATATGAGGCTAGGTTTTCAGTTAACAATTGAATCAACAGACTCCCGACTCAGACCCTCACCACCTCCCTATCAACACCACTCCGCACCTTTTCATCCGCCCTCCGTTCACAACCGACACTGTTGACACAGAGTCTCCCCTCATTCCGCACATCTCTCACACCCGTCTCTTCTCTGTCATTCAGTCTGACGGAGCAGACTCGGTCATTCTCTGCCAGTGCGTCGCTGGCCGGTAAACGTGCTACCTACAATCCCTCGCGAAGAGTGCAGAAACGTCGTCATGGGTTCCTTGCGCGGTTGCGGTCGAGGGGAGGGAGGAAGGTTCTCCAGCACCGGAGAGCGAAGGGACGGAAGTCGCTGAGTTGGTAAGGGGTGTGCTTTTTGCGTTGGTCACGATCTTTAGGGGATTGTACGGGAATCGGCGTGGGCATTGTCTCGCTAGATGGATGGATGGCGAGTCTCAATGGATCTGGAGACGATGCAGTCTCGATTCTTTCCGGACTTATCAGGATTATTCCTGTGTTCATGGGGGTTCGAGAACTGTATAGCTATTCCGATCACTGTGATTGTTTAGATCGATTGGATAGCTGGTGTGGCATCTTGACTTCGCTGGGACAAGATGCTTTTTTCACATGTACCATATACATACAGATATCAGGTCCTTACATTACTTCGGGTTGCGTCTATTATACATATGGAGTGTCATTCTGGGCCAGGATCTGGGTCCCAAGAAGCCATTCAACCTTAACTTCTTTTATATACAGGAAATAGAAGCAACACCAAATGATCATGAGGCACCAGCATGGTGCAAACCCTTATTTCCATCACAGCGCAGATTCTTCTGATATATGCACGCAAAGTACTCCGGGTATAAATGCTAAATCGCGGAGATTGATCATGCAGATGTAAACACTCTATCCCAATCTCACCGCACCTCGTGCTTCCCCGTGTGGACGCCGTCTAGCTCCGCCACAGTCGGGTGTTGCTGCTGCTGCGAGTCTAGCTCTGAGGGATGCTGGACTCGAGTCACCGGAGGATAGACACCGAAGGTGCCTTCCTGAGACCCCCGCAAGAAGGCTGAATTGTTCTGCTCGGCTGCGAGTCGCTTCTTCCGGCGCGATCGCATGACAAACAGCACGAGCAGACATCCTATGATGACAACGCCTACCCCGACACCGACACCGACGCCGATCGCTATACTTGTTGTTGAGTCTGACTTTGAACTGCGCGAATCGTTCGAGTTTGAGGCTGCGCTCGTGGTGGGGGTTGGCGTCTTCGACGTCCATGTGCTTGTTGTTGCCGTGGATGTCTCCCTGGAGGACTCTGTCGTGGTCGTCGCCGTCGAGGTAGGTTCTATACCCGCCGTCGCAGTGATAGTGGGTTCGTCCAGGGTGAATTTCAAGTACGAAGCCTTGGTACAGCAGTCATCTGCAGAGCAGCAGTAGTTGCTGGTGGTATTTCCACATCGCATCACCCACTCTCCTCCCGAGGGGTTATCTGCAGGCAGAGTTCAACTGAGCGAACACAGTAATTAGTGGGTTTGGCTCGAGGCTCACCTGCAACACAGTGTCCCTGGCATTCAGGCGCAGCCCACGTCTTGTCCGTGCAGGTCCCTCTGATGAACTGGAGGGGATTGCCGTCCGAGCCATCCCACCAGCCGGGGGGCTGGCAGAGCTGGTTGGAAGTGCAGAGGAAGCCCTGCGTGCAGCAGACGCTGGCTGAGGCTGACGCGTTGCATGGGCGATCGTTCGATATTGTTCCGTCAGGCGTATAGCAATTCGTAGCTGAGATGGAGGGGACCGTCGACAGCAATGCCAGGAAAATGAAGCTGGCATTGGTTTGGTGACGAAGTAATCATCTCGCTGTCATTGCTGCGAACCGTGACATTGCATCAATCTTTAGCGCAGACCGATTGCTGACTCGGAGTGATTGCTATACAACAAAAGTACTCAACCTCAAAGAACTATGACATGGAATTGATTGAGTATATTGTCAGGGTTGTCTCGGAATTCCCTTGAATAACTCGTCAACGGCTGCTCACAGCAAGGCATGAGTCAAAAGAATTGCTTATGGGGGAGAAATCATGCTGGCTGTGTCACTACTTGAGGTTGAGGCCGTTGGTTATCTCATGATCAACACTAAACTGGTTATACTGTGCGGCGCAGCTATCCTACACTCCCGGCGCTTACTGCACCATCAGCTCCAATCACAACTGGCAGTATGGAGCAGCTTAATCAAGTTTGCGCCTAATGAGACGAACTAAGACAGCAGATACTGTATCATTGGCCAGAGGTTAATATATGTTGAATTGCATGCGAATCAGGCCCCCTTCGTCCAATCTGCATAGTCTATCTAGATTGCTGTATAAACGGCTTGAAAAGTCCAGATGTCCCATTCGAAGTCGCTTAGGAATGATAGCAGGTTTTCTCTCGTTACGCTTTTCTTGTATAATGGACGAGAAGTACCTGCCGGGTCTATCATAGTGAATGTAGAACTCTTGTCTAGGTCGTGAGGTATACATCCGCTCGTACGATGCCTCCCCAACGTCATCATAAGTTGCATCACTTGTTATCATCGGATTCTTCTTCGTCTTCCTCAGATACAGACTCATCATCTTCGTCGTCGTCGTCGTCATCATCTTCGTCGTCGGAGTCTTCGTCTTCGTCGCCAACATTTTTCAATCCATAGTCATCTTCGAAGTCCTTCAGTGGCTGCACTGTAGGAGTGAAACCAGCCGCTTCGAGACCTTGTTTGATTGTCTATATCCAGAGTAAGTATCTGTAGCTCACAGCCTTATTCTACGCATGCAAGAGAACTCTTACCTCTTCAAGTACAGGTGCACAGGTGACAACAAGGTTTGCCTTGTCCGGAGCGAACAATGGTAGGATGATTTCGCGCAAGGCTGCTTTGACGTCTTCGACACTAGTGACTCGCACTTGTTTGAGCGTCTTTTCCTTGTAGTCGCTGGGCAGATTGCGAATGACCTGACGAATGAAGCTGCCTTGCGCCGCACTGGCGATGGTCGACTGCTCGTTGGCGAAGCTGACAACAATGCTGCTGATAGCACCTTCTAGCATTAAGGGGTCAAAAGGGATATCACCGGAGAGGTGGTCCTCGACAATCTGTTTACTGGACTCGAATGCCTTGTGTGCATTCGGTGACCGATATACATCAAAGTTCACAAAGCCAGTGTCGATATTATAGGCGAAGTTCGTACCGTAAGCCAAGCCCTTGCCACGGACGGCGACCCAGAGAGGACCCTCGACGGCATTCATATATGCAATGGCAACCAGCAGAGCGGGGAGCTTGGGGTGATCGTACGAGTCAAGACCCAGAGCAGTTGCGTAGGCAAAGGACGAGTCAATCGTCGGCATCGGAACCACGTACGATTTTCCACCAGGGGTGCGACCTGCCTCACTCAGCAAGTCCCTGCGGACGGTGACGGGCTTCAGAGTGGTCAGATCACCGAGTCGCTCAGCGTACGGCTTCCAGGATGAAACTGGATTGGGCAACTTGTCAATATCTGCGATAACCAGAACTCGCATGTTCTCAAACTTGAAAAGAGCTTGTCTGATCTCTTCCATGCGAGCAACAACGGCCTCGGGTTGCTCGGCCAATTGTCGCTTGATCCGCTTAAGATACCGCGCCTTGACCAAGGTGCTCCGCGCCCGCACAATGGATTCAGGCGCATAGTGAACCATGACATGCACAGCTGCCAGCATGTCATCACCACTACGCTTGGCGTCGGGCACGTCAGCAAGGAGCCGACTGGTGATCGCGCGCAGTCTCTCCACATCAAAGACTGAGTTCCAGGAGAGCTCCTCAAGCCAGGCGATTGCATTGCTATACTTCTCAATTTCGACCTGGAAGGAGATGCGCAACATCTCCGAATTACCCAGGCTTCTTGCACCCTCCATCGAATAGCCAACAGTATCCCTTTCCAGTTCAACCACAACTTGTTCGAAATTGATCGTCTCCCCATCCCTTTGGACCGGCAGGTTGAAAAACGCCTCCGTATACACGGACAGAAGAGGACGAAGGTGGACTGGCACAGACTGAGCCGAGATAAGAAGTGAAAGTTGGACGAAGCTACTGGGTATATGTTCAAAATGGATGAATAGTGGCAGCTCCGAGCCATCGGCATCCACCAACTTCTGAACCTTGTTATCCGCGCGTCCGGCTGTCAAAGCAGCACCGGATCGGGCCGTCTTTGTCTCCACAAAATGTATAGATTCAGTGCCAGGAATCTTGAACTTTTCCAGCATCTCTTTAGGGATCTCTTTATCATTTTCGGCCTTTGCCTTCTCCAGTTTATCGGCCAATTCCTTCAGGCCCTCGGGCCCGAGCCGCTTCTTCTGAGCTGCGACTCTGGCCTCTTCCTCTTTCTTCAAGGTTTCGGACATCTTCATTGATGGCACGCCAAGTATAGTGACATGTGGTGCGTCCGAGAGCCACTTCTTGATGAAATTCCGCCATTCATCCTCACTCCACTTCTCCAAAACGTCGTACTCTTGCAAGGTTGCAACGTCCAGCAGCGTTGAGCCGTCCTTCTTTCCGAAGAGGAAGTCAGAGATGACATACTCTGCCAAAGAAGAAGCAGAGTTCTCGGTGGAAAACTTCCAAGTCCGCTTTTGTCGGTCGACGCATTCTTTCAGATACTTCATATCCAGATCCTTCTTCATTGCGTCATCAAGGACCTCGAAGAATCGTTTCTCCACCTGAGCGAGTTTGGCGGTTTCGACACTGGTAAGGGTGAAACGAATTTCGACACTTGGATGATCTTCAGTAGCATAGTAGACCGCACTGGCAAGCTGTTCCTTTTCCACAAGGATGTTCTCTAGAAGAGAAGCCGACGACCCAGCCAGGTACAAAAGTGCGACATTAAGAGCACCGGCTTGTACATATAAGCGATGAATCACAAAAAGGACGGAGACGTGAGGACTCACTTTGTACGGGATCAGTGCAATCGGGACCCAAGAACCTGATTTCTATTTCACCAAAAGATTCGTCCTCCTCGGGGAATTCAACGGTCTTCACAATCGACTTCTCCAATGGAGGAGCTTGCTTGGAATCTACCCATGGTCGTCTGAATGGCGAATCGGGACTTGGAATAACATCCAGAATAGTGTCTTCGAATTTGTCAAGTGTTTCCAGCATGTTATCGTGGTCCACCTCACCCGTGATAATCAGACACAGGTTACGAGGTTGATACATCTCACGATGAAACGCGCGAATCCTGTCTGCAGTGAGGACACGAAGCTGCTCCATCATGCCTCCGGTCTCATAACGAAAGCCTACGCCAGGCGGGTACATCAGGCGTCGAGCCGTCAAGTCAATCAGCTCGGCGGCGTTGTTTTGCACTCCTTGCATTTCCGAGTATACGACACCCGCATCGTTACCGGAACCGTCAATGTGGTGCACTTCTGTGTAGCAGCCTTCATTTGTCAGAGTAGGTGCAATCACATGCTCCAGGTAGACAGGCAAGATCTGAGAAAAGCCCTCCCAGCCCGCTGTATCCAGCGTGTAGGCTGTGTGATCTGTGGCCGTCCAGGCATTTGTGTTGGAATACACTCGCGTAGCGAGCTTGTCTAAGAATCCCTTATACCTATAATTGCGCGATCCCATGAAACACAGGTGTTCCAGAGTGTGAGGGGCTCCTGAATCATCCAGGATCTCTGTGGCGAGGACAAAGTACCCGGTCACCTTGGGCCCTTTCTGATCAATGACCACGACTCTCATTCCGGTCCTCTGAGATTCATATTGAATGAACTCGCTCGGCGAGTAGTCGGGCTTGAACCTCTGGAGTAATTTAAAGTGAGTCTTCTGGTCAGAGGGTGACATATTGCCGTATGACATGAACGGAAACTCTGTCCAGTTTCCGATCCTCCAAATACTGCCGAACAAATCTCGTTGAGACAATCTGGTACAAAGTCAGTAATTGAAGGACCTTTCAAAGTATGAACAACGTCTGTCATCGGAAAACAGCAGAGGAATGACAGGTTCGATGAAAGAAACGGGAGCTGCACCCATTCCATGACTGGCACCCAGATAACAAAAACGCAAATATCAACGAAAAAGAGCGACTCGCTTGTATAATGCTGCGAAGAACACGTTGGACGTGGATTTTATAACGCTATGGCACAGCACAGGCTTCGAAGCGGCATTGACTTCGATATAACGCGGGACACAGAATCTTTTGATTCTCCGCTTGAGCTCAGTAGAGAACAATAAGTGTATTGTACTCACATAGATCGAGTAGGATACGCCCGACTCAGGCCTCGCTGAAAAAGCCGAGACAACACGACTGCGTAAGCGGCGCCAATACTGCTTTTTTAGGGGAAAAACGAGCTAGGATCCTGGACAGTTGCAGCTGTCGTCGAACTCAGAATCCTATGAGTGGAGTTTGGGTCCCGTTCCCTAAGATCAACCATGCCACTAGCACGCAAGAGTCTCAACAGACGACGTCAACCAGGCTCGAGTGACTAGAACCCAGCAACTCTACAGCATTAATAGACGTCCTCAGTGCCAATCAGCAAATAAATCAAAATTTCATCTGTCAGTTTATGTAGGAAGACGACAGCTCGTGGTGAGACTCCTTCAGCTTATCCAGCTAAGGCGGTGAATCTGACGGTGAGGTCACATGGCGGGGATTGTTGTTATTATGGACAGCAAGTTCGCTTCTGCCAGCTACTACCAGCACCGAAGCTCATAGCTTTCCCTGCCCAGGATATATCATCAAGTGCTGCGGGCACTGTATCGCCCAGTCAGAGCCGGAGGTTACCTCTGAGCTATATTTCAGGACAAGCCCAGACACCCTAGAGACTGTCTGAAAGATGTCTCCGCAGGCGTCGGAGCAGAAGATTTGCCAGTCGGTACTGGATTTCGTCACAGAAGGCACCTTTCCAGGATCAGAAGATGTTGTAACATCAGTATTTCCTACGTCAGCTCTGGCTAAAGAACTGGAGCTTATATCGAATGCACGGGAGCAGGTCGAAGTACGTAGTGAATATCCGCAATGTTCGGTCCCCTATTGCTAATATCTTTCCTTTCCACAAGGCTCAAATAAACTCATTGAGTCGAGAGAATGACTTTGATGCCGACGGTTGGATGTCGCAAGCCGAACAGCTTCATGCAGATATTGAGCGATCCAGGCTTACGGCGCGTGAGATTGTTGCGCAGCACGAGAACACTAGGCCCTTGCAGCTGAAGGTCGAAGACGCCTCTGCGAAGGTTCGATTGATTCAGACAGAGATTGCTTTCAACCAGGCCGTGACTAGGACCCTCGAGGAGGTACAAGAGCTTTGCCAGCGACTCAATGCAGGACGGACAGACCTTGCGGAAGGCCGCATCATGGCCGCCATTGACGCGGTAGACGCGGTGGAAGACACTGTACAAAAGGATAGTCTTTTCGCCAACACTAACGTAAAACACATCTTGGTGCAGAATGTCGCCGAACTGAGAAAACAGATTGCGGAGGATCTCCGGGCTCGGTGGAACAACCTGCTGAAAGTTGACAGACAGGCCGGCAGCTTCGAGGTCGCCAAAAATGACGGTAAGTCGCATCTAGAGAGATTTGTGTATCATCCAATCTGACGGCGAATAGGTGCCTTGCTGGATGATACAATAGCTGCCATGGCTCGATTGGACCTACTTATCCCAGCAAACGACAAACTGCAGAAGGATCTTCTGTTAGCGATAGTGGAACCGATATTGCTTAATCTGGACGGCTATAGTCGTCCGATCCGTGTTGCAGAAGGCTCGATTCATGTGCAGCCAGAACCAGCCACAACCACTGCTCCGCAGCTGCTCGATCGTGTCTCCGATGTCTTAGGCCTTCTCCGGCAATGTCTGCCTTCGTCAATTTCAGATTCCTTCTCCGACACTTTCGTACCGGCTCTGTCCTCCAAAATCATATCATCTTGGCTTTCATCTGCAATCCCTACAGATCTTGCAGGCCTCGCTGACTTTGAAGCGATCCTGGATAGTGTGTTGAAATTTGCTCAGACAATCGAGACACTTGGATGGCGCGGGCAGGAAGAACTTGTGTCTTGGGTGAATCAAGCGCCCCGCCTCTGGCTTACCAGGCGGCGAGCTGACTCCCTCGATCAAGTTCGTAAAGTTCTTGCGGGGAGTCAGGGGTTGACAAAGCAAGTAGAAAGGGTTGAAAAGGAAGAGGTATCTCGAGCAGATGAAGTACTGTTGGAAAACGCCACTTCCGACGATTGGGATGCTAGTTGGGACGACGAGAATGGGGGCGAGTCCAAGGGAATCCCCTCAAGAACCCAAGAAGGTGAGGATGATGTCGCCGCTTGGGGTCTTGATGACGACGCTACGGAGGAGGTAGTGGAGACCAAAGCCGATATCTCAGAATCTGCCGATGACGACGATGCAGATGCGTGGGGCTGGGGTGACGACGAAGATGGAGATGAACGTGTTGAAAACCAACCAGCCCAGGAGACTGATAAGGCGACTTCCGTAATTGGAAGAGATATCGGACATCGTGCACCCCGGGAAGTTACCCTGAGAGAGCACTACACTGTCACGGATATTCCGGACTCCATCATGGCGATTGTCCGACGGCAGGTCACGGATGTGGAGGCCATCTCACAGCCTGGGTAAGTTGATAATGATTTATGATCTGTACATGCGCTTACAACAACTTAGACACGATCATACGCGTATTGTCTCTTCTGGAGCTGGTCTTCTTGCACTTCCGACGTTAATCCTGGCTATGTTCAAGGCCACGGCACCTTCATTCTACAGTCTCAAACTCAATGCTGGACAAATGTACTTGTATAACGACAGTTTGTACCTCGTCGAGCAGCTCCGAACTATGGTTGAGGAACATAAGCTGTCGCGTCTCAGTTCGGATCTGGATGCGCTTGAAAAGTTCGGCAAGCTCGCTTATAGCAAGGAGATGCAGACTCAACGCACTATAGTCACCGACTTGCTCGATGGCACCCAGGGATTCAGTCAGTGTTCAGAACAGCCGTTCCTTGGGGAGTGCGAAAATGCAATAAGCGCCACTGTTGACAGAATCCGCGATGTCTACAAGGAATGGCAACCGATCCTGTCACACTCTGCGCTTCTTCAATCGATTGGATCATTGGTAGCCTCCGTCATCAACAAGATTATCATTGATATCGAGGATTTGGGTGACATCTCGGAAGCTCAGTCCCAGCACCTGGTGTCTTTCTGTAATCAGGTCTCTCAATTGGAGGACTTGTTCATGCCTGGGCCAAATGAAGGTATTGAGCGTGTGCCAATGACCGCGGTGTACGTGCGCAACTGGCTGAAGTTTCAATACCTGATAAATATACTGGAAAGCTCTCTTGCCGACATCAAATTTCTGTGGACAGAAGGAGAGCTTCGGCTCGAATTTTCAGCAGACGAGGTGGTTGATCTGATCGAGGCTCTCTTTGCGGAGTCTGATTACCGACGGAAGGCGATTGCAGATATTCGACGACAGTCTAGGGGATAAGACCTTAAATTGACAAGTTGTATATAATTACATACTGTAATAGATAGCACAAGAGATCCTTGACCAACGCAGATATGATTGACTATTTTGCCTGTAGATATTCTCTGTTTTCTCCGAATTGGCAGACTGGGGGAGCGGCGAAACTCCGCGCACTGCGCAAGTGGCCGCATCGGCCGCCGTATTTTTTTCCTCACTCTACGGTCGACGGAGCAAGATTCTGATATCGACGAGAATTTCCAAACACGCCTCTTCTGGGATAGTTACCGTCCAGAATTCAATATGAACGACGGCTCGGATTTTGATGCTACTGCGACCTCGTCTGCTGCCCAGCGACAGGTCCGCGTGCAGCTCACCAGCAAACAGGAAGATATTGCGCTGCCAGATAACGCTGGACCAATCTTGGTTCCTACAAGTAGGTCATACCCTTCAAATATCATTCGACTAAATTGTCGCAAATTTGACAAGTCTGCTACTACAGGTCTGCGACGATATGCGCTTTCGACACTGGTGAACAACCTCCTTGGTAACGACAAACCGATACCATTCGAGTTTCTGATCAACGGTACATTTCTGCGGACTTCGATCGATGAATATCTAACAGCCAACGGTATCTCTGCGGAGACGACTTTGGAAATTGAATATGTCAGAGCATTGATTCCCCCGCTGCACATCGCGTCCTTCCAGCACGATGACTGGGTTAGCTCCACTGATGTGCTCTCTGCAACCTGCCCCGCTGCCACCTGGGCATCAGCGACAGTTTCTCAAGGCCAGGAGCAGATCCTTTCAGGCAGCTACGACGGCTTGCTTCGGGTATGGAACATGTCATCTCAGATTGTTGCGACTTCCCCAGCGGCCGCCGATGGGGGCCATACGGCATCCATCAAAGCTGCCAAATTCGTCACACCGAACCAGATCGCATCGGCGGGCCTTGATCGTACAGTGCGTCTATGGAAATATTCTGAGAGTGAAGAAGGGTTCTCAGGCACAATAGCTCCCCAGCTCGAGCTGTACGGACACAAGTCTGGCATTAACTCTCTGGCCGTTCACGCGCCCTCGAACCGTATACTATCCGCCTCCTCAGACAATAGTGTTGGCTTCTGGTCGACCAAGAAATCGGACGCCCCTACCGCTCCAGAGGACCTGCTGCCATCAGCCGCATCGAGAAGCTCTAAGAGGAGAAAGCTGAACTCTTCCGTGACTGTTCCCCAGCGAGGGCCATTGGCACTTTTGTCCTCGCACACCGCACCCGTATCGGCTGCTATCTTCGATGCGAAGGACTCGACGGTTGGTTACTCGGCTTCTTGGGACCACTCGCTGCGCACATGGGACCTTGTCACCAGTACCCTGGTGGACACCCGGACGACGTCTCACTCGCTGCTTTCCCTTGAGCATCTTCCGGAACTCAATCTGCTCGCTGCGGGAACGTCCGCGCGGCACATTACCCTCATTGACCCCCGCGTATCAGCGACGACAATCTCCGCCATGACATTGCGGGGTCACACAAACGCCGTCGTCTCGTTGGCTCGCGACCCTCACAGTACATATGGTTTGATCAGTGGAAGCCACGATGGCACCTGTCGCATCTGGGATATCCGTGCCACGAAGACCGATAAAGACGGTGTCGTCGGCGAGAGCGTCTACTCCATCTCACGGAAGAGTCTGGAGGAGCAAGGAAAGTCTGATACTAAGCGTGTCGGAGGGGAAGGTGTCAAGGTCTTCAGTGTTTGCTGGGACAAGACAGTCGGCATTGTTAGTGCGGGAGAGGATAAGAGGATTCAAATCAACCGGGGCGAAGGCGTATTGTCGGCATAATATGTATCGCACATATTCTTTTGGTTTCTTAGTGGAGTACGAAAAAGTTGGAGTTATTCTTGTCTCGACCGATTTAGACGCTATCAGATTTGTTTTGTAGAGATCAAAGAGCACATAACGAAGAGGAGATCTAATCTGCTTTTAGCTTCACATTCTCCTGCCTATAATATGATACATGGATATAGAAATTTCAAAAGTACATAAGAGCCAACGAGCATAACGCCATTACCATGCCTTGAAGTATAGCAGCCATCGTTTCAAAGTCACAGTCGTCTTTCCATACGGTTGAGCTTGACAGCGGTCGAAATCTGTGGATCTCGTCAGTACTGCCTTTCCTGTTTCCAAATCATAGCACGATGCGAGTCTGTGACGAGACTCGCAAATGTAGAAGGATAACCCACCTGTGTCCTCGTTCTCTGGCCCCGAACCGGTAGTCCCAACGCATGGCGTCTGCCACGGTACGAACCCGACTCCTTCAACCGCTTGATATCATCAAGAATCTGTCTCCGGAGATCATTCTCAATCTTCATGTCGGATAAAGCAGCTGTGAGGTCCAGAACCTGCTTGTTCGCAAGCTCCCCAACCTTGCATGTGGGGTGGATGTGGAAGCGGGCGAGGAGGCGTGCAGAAACCAGGGGACCAACGCCGAAGAACGTCTCGAGTGATTTCTATGTTAATCGTCAGAATCGCGTTAAGACTGTATGATCAAACAAAGGTTTGGTCGCCGGGTTTGAGTCGCGGGATAGAGATGCGCTTGCCTTGACGAGATTCCGCTCGGGGAAATTCACACCCAGAATGAAGACCTAGATTACGGTGAGCATGCATAATCGCAGTGAGAAGAACTTGGGCAATACCATCTTGAATAACTAGTAGGAATCTGCAGTTCCTAGGACGGATTCCTCTTCCAATTGCGCTGGACTGCTATCATTGATTGCAATTGATCACCAAGGAAGCGGAAGAAACTAGGCTGCAAAAATATTTCTCCGAGTTGGCTTTGCAAATGTATTGAAAATTACCAGGTTTTGTATCAAAAGCTTAGTCCCACTGTACACGTCGCATATTCTGCTCCTCATTGCAGCAGACTTGCAGCAAGTCATCTTGAAAATTACGCACCTGATTCATTGAAAGTGTCTTGGCATCTCCGCACGCTATGGATAACTGCAAGCTGGCCTCGACCTCCTTCAATCTCGATCTATCTCACAGCTTTCTCACAGTCATTGCCTGAAATCTACTCTTCCCGGCAATTGTGAGCAACTATGAATTTCAAAAGTCTTCTTTTGTCCTTCTTCCTGGTCTTCGCGGTTGGACTCGCTCTGGTCCACGCTGAGGAGACTAAGGAGCCACGAGGCCCAAAAATCACAAGCAAGGTAAGCAAGTTTCGTGCCATTGATATATGCATCTAACGATTGGTTGCATAGGTTTTCTTTGATATTGAGCATGGAGACAAGCCCTTAGGAAGAATTGTGCTTGGATTGTACGGCAAGACCGTCCCTAAGGTAGGCATCGTTCCTTTCTGCAGCACTGCTTCTAGGTTGGGACTGGATACTAATGGAACGGCCTGAGTTCAGACAGCTGAGAACTTCCGGTACGATTGTTCAATCAATTGATATCTATCGACCCCTACTAAACGTAACACAGCGCTCTCGCTACCGGTGAGAAGGGCTTCGGTTATGAGGGCTCTACCTTCCACCGTGTCATCAAGAGCTTCATGATCCAGGGCGGTGACTTCACCCGTGGTGATGGTAAGTTCTGCACGTCAATTAGTAACAGCGCATGTGTTGACAATATTTGACTTGTAGGTACCGGTGGAAAGTCGATCTACGGCGAGAAATTCGCGGATGAGAACTTCAAACTTAGGCACACCCGCAAGGGCCTTCTGAGTACGACACTCCTTGATCTCTTGACTTGAACGTCGCCGTTCTCTAACTATATCAGGCATGGCAAACGCTGGCAAGGATACCAACGGCTCTCAGTTCTTCATTACCACCGTTCCTACTCCGTGAGCTTACCACCCGTAATTTCCTTGCCGATATATACGAGCAGCGTACTAATACCTCATGTAACTGATAGATGGCTCGATGGTCGCCATGTCGTCTTTGGTGAGGTTCTAGAGGGCTACGAGATCGTGGAAAAGATCGAAAATGTGCCCAAGGGTCCTGGCGACAAGCCCGCAGAGACCGTCAAGATCGTCAAGAGTGGAGAGATCAAGGATGAATCCACCAAAGGTAGCCACGAGGAGCTGTAGACCTGTTCCTGGTCAGTCCTTGCTGCTTTGATATGCAATCAAATATGCTGATGGTTGGATGACGCTCAGAACAAGATCCAGCTGATGGGCTCTACGATGGAGAACCGTCAGAAATATCCACTCTGCCCGAGTCTTCCGCTTATTCTCTTCGCAACGTTGCATTCCTTTCCATCGTCATCGCTATGGTTATCATGGCGGTGAAGATCAGCAAGAAGAAGGCAAAGCAGTTCAATGAGAAGAGCGAGGTCTAGTCAACAGTGTTAGTGCTAAAGCTCAGCTGTTTATATAGATCCATAAATTGAATACATATTTCAAAACAGAATATTTAACTTCGATAGATGCTGTGTGGTACGCTTGACCCGCCATCATACAGTCCAGATTGCCGCCAGTAGGTGGTGGCAAATGTCCATCGAATGAGCCAGGCATAGAGTCATAGTAGTGGCAACCTGGAGCATGTCACTTGGGTGGGGTTGACACGCACGTACGGAGTACCTTACTAGGTATCCCTTAGTATTAGTAGTACCCCTCTAGTCGACGATTGAATCAAGCGTAACCGTGCCTTAGCAGGCACTGACAACAGAAACAAGATACTCAGTTGACTCGGGGACTAGGTACAAAGCTTGGGCGAATAAACAACATTGCTTTTTGTTGCCTGATACTATTGAGCACCCAATAATCAATAGCCTGAAGTAATAGGTTGACGTTGATAACTTGATAGTATCCAAGTATGTAAAGGTAAACCTATCTAGTCCCGATAGTCTGGAGATGTATGTGACTGTAAGTGAATCCAAGTCATTTACCCTTTCAGCAGGTTCCGGATTTCTACCTTGCTTTAAGGATTGTGGACCTGACCCAGAGAAGACACATGCGCTCCGTAATCATTGCAAAATTTGCCATCAATGATATTGAAGCACATGGACGATCTACCTATGCGTGTAGTAGATATCTATTTGAACCAAAGACATTCATAATGTATAATAATGACCAATCATGATTCTATTTAAATTCAACAGTAATAAAATACGTGTTGTAGGACCCAAAACACAAAAAAAAAGGTTGAAAATTCACTAGAAAGAAAGACTGGGCCCAGCTGTATGGTTATCTGGATATCCAGTCAGACCCTTTCCTCTCCTTTTTCGCCCTTTTTTTGACTTGACGTTTTTTGAACTTTTTTTTTCCTTTTTTTCGCCTCCCGGTGTCAGTATTTCCATTTTCTTAAAAGTTCTTTCGCTGGATCTTCTCGCCCTTCCCACAAAACCTCTTCCGCTCTTCTCCCCTCCCATCTATCGGCTACTACTTAATCTAAATTTCCATCTTCCTCCTTCTTTCTTCCCCCAAACCTCTCTCCACTTAATACTGTCTTTCTCTTCCTCCCTTTTTCTTTTCTTCCTTTGCAAGATTTGATAGAGGGTTAGATCTGGGAGAACACTGTTTTCAGTTTTTTATCTCCCTTGAAGTCTGCTCAGTTTCCAAGTTGTGTTACTTCTCTGCTTGAGACCTTTGCTACGTCGCCACTCGACGATAGAGAGACAACGCTTTTGTTTGAAGTTTCTCTCTTCTCTCATCTTGTACACATTCTTGATTTCGAAAAGAATCTCAAGCCTTCCTTACAACAGATAATCTCTGAAATAGATTGTCTGTGTCACGTTCTCGAGCTAAAAGAACACTAAGCAACCCTTCGATTGTACGTTTACAATTGCGTCCTCAGAGTCACCAGATCCGATTGATTTCAAACACTGAACTGTTGAATCGGCTTGCTCATTTATCTGATACAGTTTCAAAAATTCCCGCAATCATGGCCGACGGTCTGAAGATGGGAAATCTGTCCCTTAACGAATCCCAGCATGCGCCTGCTGGTCCCCCTTCAAACGGCCGCGCTGCCTACATCCCTCCCCATCTCCGTCAGCGCACCATGGGCGCCAACGTCGACGGTGCCGCTGCTCCTCCTCCCCCCGGTCCTGCTGCTCCTGCTGGAGCTTGGAACGGCCCAAGGTATGTATTCGAGATCCTTCTCAAATCTCAGTTTCTTGTCTTTGTTCATTTTGGCTGACCGTGGCGTACTTCTTGCAGAAACGCTCCTCGCGGTGGCAACTGGGCTAATGCCAATGCCTCTGATTTCAGCCCTCGTGGTCCCAATGTCCCCAATGGTAACAACAGCTGGACTCCCACGGAAGCTCAACGTCGGCCCTTTGATCCACATGCTTACGGACACCCAGGACACGGAGGCTCCTACGGCGGCTCCCAAGGCGGTTCTGCCAAAGGCTCTGGAGACGGCCAGTGGCGCGACGGCAAGCACATCCCCGGTCCCGCAAACGCCCGCCTGGAGCGTGAGCTTTTCGGTGTTCCCAACGATCCCACCAAGCAGAGCACTGGTATCAACTTCTCCAACTACGACGATATCCCCGTCGAAGCATCCGGTCAGGACGTTCCCGAGCCCGTCAATGCATTCACGAACCCCCCGCTGGATGACCACTTGATTTCCAACATCAAGCTCGCTCGCTATCAAACCCCTACTCCCGTCCAGAAGTACTCTATTCCCATCGTTATGAACGGTCGCGACCTCATGGCGTGTGCTCAGACTGGTTCCGGAAAGACTGGTGGTTTCCTGTTCCCCATTCTCTCTCAGGCCTTCCAGACAGGTCCTTCCGCCGCGCCTGCTCAGGCCTCGGGCCAGTTCGGATACGGTCGTCAACGCAAGGCGTACCCTACTTCCCTGATCCTCGCCCCCACTCGTGAGCTTGTTTCTCAGATCTTTGACGAAGCCCGCAAGTTCGCTTACCGCTCTTGGGTTCGCCCCTGTGTCGTGTACGGTGGTGCCGATATTGGCTCTCAACTCCGTCAGATCGAGCGTGGTTGCGATCTCCTGGTTGCTACCCCCGGTCGTCTGGTTGACCTGATCGAGCGTGGCCGCATCTCTCTGGTTAACATTAAGTACCTGGTTCTCGACGAGGCTGATCGTATGTTGGACATGGGTTTCGAGCCTCAGATTCGCCGCATCGTGGAGGGTGAAGACATGCCTAACGTCAATGAGCGCCAAACTCTGATGTTCTCGGCCACTTTCCCCCGCGATATTCAGATGCTTGCCCGGGACTTCCTGAAGGATTACGTTTTCCTCTCCGTCGGTCGTGTCGGCTCTACCTCTGAGAACATCACTCAGAAGGTCGAGTATGTCGAGGACCACGACAAGCGTTCCGTCCTCCTTGATATCCTTCACACTCATGGCACGAGCGGTCTCACTCTCATCTTCGTGGAGACCAAGCGTATGGCCGATGCTCTCTCCGACTTCCTGCTGAACCAGCGCTTCCCTGCAACTGCTATTCACGGTGATCGCACCCAGCGTGAGCGTGAACGCGCTCTGGAGATGTTCCGCTCCGGACGTTGCCCTATTCTGGTTGCTACTGCTGTCGCTGCTCGTGGTCTTGATATTCCCAACGTCACCCACGTCATTAACTATGATCTTCCCACCGACATTGACGACTACGTTCACCGCATTGGTCGTACCGGTCGTGCGGGTAACACTGGTATCGCAACTGCCTTCTTCAACCGTGGCAACCGTGGTGTTGTCCGTGAGCTGATTGACCTTCTCAAGGAGGCTCATCAAGAAGTTCCTTCCTTCCTGGAGAGCATTGCTCGCGAAGGCAGCGGATATGGTGGGCGCGGAGGCCGTGGAGGTCGTGGTCGTGGTGGCAATGCCACTCGCGATGTGCGTCGTGTGGGTGGTAACGTTGGCGGTGGTGCTCCCTCCTTTGGCGGCAGCTACGGTGCTCCCAGTAGCAGCAGCTATGGCGGCGGCGCTGGCGGCTACGCTGCCCCCCCAGCCTACGGCGGTGGCTACGGCGGTGGTTATGGCGGCGGCAGCTACGGAAACCCCTCGGGCCCAACTGGACCCTCTTCCTGGTGGTAAATTACCTAGGAGGTTGTGGTCCTTGGCGAGGCCGTCGGGTCTGAATGGCTCGTCTTTTCTCACGCCTTTCATCTGATGGTTACGATCGGAAAACGAGTCCTGAAGTACCTCTCTTCGTCCTTCTCCCTTTTCTCACATTCCTATCAGGACCGGCTTTGTCACGACCGCCACGACTTCCTCTTCTACAATTTCCTATGTTATCTGATTCCTCGATTTGGGTTTGTGGGTGTTCTTTATCTGCTGAGCATTTCGCGATTGCTATTTTTTCATTCGCCTTTTCCGTCTTAGACATGGGACGTTCGATGCGGTCCGATATCTCCATCTCGCTGCTCCGAACCATACGGTCGGTATGGATAGAAGCGCCTTGATCGGCATTGCATGATTATCATAGATCGCGTTGAATTTCCTGCTACGACCGTCTTTTTCAGATACCCTTACCTGTTTTTCAAGCGTCCATGTGGAGGTACGCTTGAACGATGCGCGCCGAGCGGGAGTGCCGGCTTTTCGTCTTCAGAAAAGTACTTTTTATGGTTTTCATATGCTCGGTGCTATTGCAGCTGCATCGACTGTGTCTTGCAACATAGATCTCTACGGTTTCGGTATCTAAAGGCGGGCCTGTTCTGTGTCTTTCCTCTTTTTGCTCGAATTCTTACTCGCACTTGCATGCGTTATTCCTGTTTTCATGGAAATCAACGCTTTCTTCTCCGAACTGTGTCATCACTTTCCATCGACTCTGAACGGTTATTCCGGGTCTGCGCATCCACACCGCATGAAAGAGGCGAGTGCACGCGGCAATCGTGTTCACGGGCCTTTTTTTCCTTGTGTGTACTTTCGTTTTTCTTTTACCGCGGTGCATAAATTACTCGATGCGAGTGATATAGATGGGATTATTTGCATTGTGTTATGGCGTTGACTTGAGCTGCTGTGTCCACAAGATATTCTCTGCACCGGGGTCCGTGGAGGCTTGACATTTGAATGGGAGTCTTTTTGTGGTTCATTACTCGGATCCTTGGAGGGGGTAAAGCTGTGATTTCTGGCGCATTGATGTTCATGCTGGTTCGGAGGCATCATCCTTTACAGTCAGAAGCAGCTTGGGGCATTAGGCCTTCTAACGGCACGGCGTAGCTCACGGAGACCCTTAGTCTCGAGAGAAGAGAGCTACCTATTATCAATTAAAAAGTTCTATTTTGTCTGTGTCATTGTAGCTTTTGAGGACGTGTTAATGTTTCAGTAATTTTCTCGATTTGTCTGGATGGTGATGAGCAATGACAAGTTCCTTTTCCCGCGTTGATGGAATGTGGGTGTTATTACTACTAGTGGTTTGCAAGGTCTGACCTCAATCCACGGAATAATAATAACATCACTGACTGAAAACCCCCAGCCTCCTCTTCCTCACCCCCAACACAGATTAGCAGATCTCTGTCTGAGATTCTGTTTTTTCTGTAGTAATAGGGGTCAAACTTCACATATCCAGAGTAGATACGATACGTCTCAAGGGCCGTATTCACTCAGTTCTTACATAATCCGGGGCTTCGTCTGTCAATTGTTGAGCATCTTCGCATGGATGCTAGACGAATGGCGAAATTCGCAATGAGTAACTTTGATTCGAATATTCTGATCATTGGATTGAATAACATCAATTACGGCGATTAAGGTTATATCAAATCCACCTCATTGTGAAGTAATGATAGGGGAAGACAGAATGATTAAAGAACAGTACATAGTAGCACGTAGGTAGTATGACCTCTGTATACCAAAGCTGCGGCAAGGCAAAAGATCCCGGAAGGAAGCCAGAAAGAAATATCGGCACCAGAACTCCCACAACGCTCATTTTGCCTTTGCTCGAACCACTTTCTTTTCTCTTCATCCAACACCAGAGTCCATCTTCGTTTATATTTATCATCATCGCATCCAGCCCTCATCTTCATTTTGTCATCTCCAACCCTCTGGAGTTTCTCTCATTTCTTCCTTGACTCTAGCTATAAACTTGTTGGCATCATTTCCTCCCCTTTAAATAGTTACACGCTTCGCGGTCCTCGATAACCCAAGCCTGACAGCGTGTGACGCCCCCCCTGGGGCACGAATCAACAATCCACAATTTCGGACCATTCGCGACAGTGGATAATTTCTCCATTGATAATAACCTACCTCTCGAGAAATTGCTGAATTGACGGGGTCCCTTCGAAGATGGCCGACGCTGAAAGCAACGTCGCAGACGAGTCGTTTGCGCAGTCCGAAACCCAGGACGAGCAGCCTTCGCACAGTACGGTCAGCGCGACGGTCGGCATCAGGCGTCAGGCGAATGGCACCATTGGCTCCGTCTACTCGGGAAACAAAATCAGGCATCTGAAAAAGGAAGATGGCATGCCGCTCTGGCGCAAGGACATCCAGTACCAGTTTCTCAAACTGGTCTTCGAGGACAAGACCCCCGTCTTCACTCGCTGGTCCGATGGCAAGAAGAACTTGGATTTTGCGGATATTTACATCGATGCGATGGCGAGGAGCAGTAAGACGAGCAAGATTCTTAAGGACAAACTGCAGAGCGATAAGCAAGCCGCCATCAATATGGCGATGGTTTGTCTGCTCGTTAACTTTGGGAGGATGAATACCACTTTGAACTGTATGGTTTTGCCGTTCTCTTTGTCTCTTCACTCAGCCCTCTTCGCGATCTCATTCTTCCCTAAACCCTCCCTTAACTTGTGCCATTGGATCTCGAGACTGACTCGGAGACAAATCTAGTTTTCCCAGAAATGCGCGCTCAACTACGGACTTATCACTCCATTCCTTCCCTGCAGGCACACCAGGACCCCAACGCATACAAGCAGCTTCAGGATGCTCCTCGTCTCAAATCGATCCTCAAGGGTGCATCAGAGGATGTTGACCAGCCGAATACGCTCGAGAAGATCAAACGCCATCCCATCCCTCGGACCAATCCGGTGCACCTCATCTTTGTCCTCGCACAGTACGCTCCCAAGGTGTCCGAATTGCACTTCTTCCCTCCCCGTGATTTCTTCGACTTGGTCATGAGATCCACGCTCAGCAGTAAGAGCCGTGCAAGAGCTTTCTTATGGCTGATGTGGTGGTATTTGGAGAGTGATTACTCGCGTGAAGCTGCCCTCAACAACCCATTCGGCCCGGGCCAGGATGGTGAAGGAACCGAGGGCCTGCCAATCAAGGTGCCCAGCTTCGAGAGCCTCACGGAAGAGCAGGCAAACGAGGAAAATGTCGATACGCCCTCAGAAATCGAATACGGAGAAACAAAACGCTTGGAGCGTAAACGTAAGTTCATGCGATGGTCGACTCATTTTCCGCCTTTCGGTGCGTGGGCTGACGTTGTCATAGGCATTCTGGAAGAGGACGAGCCATTACCCAGGCCGCCAAAGCGTCCACGAAAGGGTAATTCTGACCATCTCCCTCCGCGACCTCCCTTAGATGCGGGCCCAGGAGAAGGTCCTGCGTGTAAGTTCAGTCCAATGATCCAGCATGTGTAGTCATGCGTTAACCAAGGTTATCTATGAATAGACGACGCGTATTATGGAACCAGTTCTATGCGGCCGCCTTCCAAGCGTCCAGCGGATCCAGATGAAGGCTATCTGACGCCTACTCAATCATCGCGTTCTGAGTCCAAACGACCCAAGCGGGAGTCGTCTCTCAACCGCTCGGTCGGTCAGCAGCGACTGATTTTGAAGACTAAGATGGAGCAGACCCCCGACGCGTCCTCGCCGGCGCCTCCAGGATCAGGTCATCCGATTCTGAATAGATTCGTGACCGAATCCACTATTGGTCAGCCTCCCTCATCTCGCCGCCCTCGGCCACTTACACAGCACCAGTTGGCTGTCGAACAGAATCGGCGCCAGCGTATCGATTATCTCCTGGCCAAGCGTAAAAACGAGGCTTACCGAATTTTACGAGCGAAGAGAGAAAACGAAATCCCGTTCGCGCGCTACGGTCGCTTGTTGCAATCTCTTCCGGAAGGTTACGACACTGAGGACGAGGAGGCCTCATGGGGCAAGGGTGGCTTGATCCCTCACCACGAGGAAGAAGAAGACTTTGGAGAGTCCGCGGGCTACTTCTTATCTGTGATCCGTAAGGCCGCCAGAAGGCTTGACCGCTGGGACTATGAAAACGCGAATGGTCCGAAGAGAGACCGCAAGAAAGAGAGAGAGGAGCGCCAGAAGGCCAGGCAGAACGGCTATGCCATGGATGCCCTTGACCTGAGTGGGCGAGCCTCGATGTCCGCTCGTAGCAGAGCCCGCGCAGCGCGCAATGCGAGACGCAAGCTCGCCGAAGCAGAGGCTGGTGCTTCTGGTGCTACGGCCGGCGAGGCCTCCAAGGGGCAAACTGCGTCATCCTCCCGCTCCAAGAGCAGCCGAAGTCGCCCTAGCCGCGGTGCTGGAGGGGCCTCTTCCGGTGTGGCAGGCAAGGATGATCTCGACGTTCCCTTACAAGACCAGGATCTCTCGCCGCTGCCTCCTTCCATTCGTCTGGCCGATGAGGACGCCGATCTTGACGGCGAAGGCCTTGACGATCTGGATCGCGAACTGCTAGGTGAAGGAAGCGGGGATGAGGATGACGCTGCGGATCGCGACGATCGATCTTCGCGCCCAGCAGAGCCTGGTTACGAGGATAGTTTCATGGGTGGTGATGCAGATGACGACGCGGAAGCGTTATCATCCGACGATGAAGTTGACGATGAGGAGGATCTCGACGACGGAGATGGTGGAGTCGATGTGGACGAAAACTCTTCGACTTTCGATGGCGGAAATGGATACGCTGCCAGCGAGACCTCTTCTGTTGCTGGTGATACTACCGCTGTCCTAGACGATGGCAAAGTCTAGTAGAGACACCGCTTTCATGCTTGGGTCTCTTCTTGGAATGCTCCTACAAGTCACACTAGACGTTTCATATTTTAGCACTCTGCCACTCTGTTTCTTACTTTGTCTTCCTCATTGCCCTTTTTCAAATTTTTAATGTGTCTTTGCCCATGTGACCGTGTCCATCTTGTTACCATAGCAGAGTACAGTAGCCACATACAATCATGAGTGTCCAGAACGGACTTGTGCTCAGGACTCAATTCCGCTGCATAAGCTACATTACATTGTCTTCTGATCATCTATGTCAAGTTCAGTATGAATAGATGTCAAACAACGGCGACCGATAAAACCGATAAATCCAGCGTCGGACTTAAATGGACATCATACAGACATTCCAGACCCGATCGAACGTCGTTATTGGGCAGTCCAGGGCTGTGCTGCAATCAAAGGGAGAGATGGCTGCTGCTGCAGAGCAGCCTCGGAGTTGTAGAGTCGAACGAACCATGTATCATTTTCAATTCCAGTTATTACCTTACAGTATGTGCATCGTAGAGAGTCCCCCACGCAAATGAAATAGCATAGGTAGACTTTGTGGAGGGGAACCCTGGATGGTTGAGGGGTTACCGTACAATAATGTCTCTATGGGAGTACTCAACCATGATCATTATTGACATGTGAACGCATCCGCCGCCTCTTTCATCGTTGTCCCCTGTCCTACGAGCGCTCAACAAAAATTCTCGGATCTGCTCACAGCACAAACATCCGCACTCATCATTGCACTCATCTGTCATTGTGTTTATCTTTATATCAGGTTACACTTGTAAACGTGTCATCTTGGCTCTTATAGAAATTCAACAAGAACTGTAGTATACTGGGTCCTCCTTCCATTGTTTGTGTGCCCCAGAGATCAGCCGATCACAAGGAATCTTGCCGCCGAATTGCACCTGCAAGTGTGCTCCACTCCAGCTCTTGAACGAGTCGGCTTCAGTCGCCTTCATCTCGTCAGTTTCAAACCTCCGCTAAGTCGACGACTGCGCTGTCATTGCTACAGAAGTACTCCGTACAGCTACAGCAACTTCCAGTCTTGTCGCTGCACACCTGACAGGTCCTTGACCTCCTTCTCCTCCTTTTTTTTCCCTTCTCGGGGTGTCTCCCCACCCAGTACCTTGCCACCATCAGGCTGGCTATTTTCTTTACTGCAGAGATCACATTTACTTACAGGGGGCGTTCGATCCTACATCATCCTACCTTTGGTCTATTTTCGGCGATATAAACGCGGGGGATTCTCAGTTGCGACCTTAACCTCACCTGCCGATACCGCATCGAACTCATAATTGGATTTGGGAGACCGCAACTACCTGATCGTTTATTTCTGTCCCACTGCGAAACATACCATATCCTTGTTCAGCAGATCACGCATCATGGCTGATAAACCCGCCATCCTTCAACCTCGTCCGCGGCGAGTGTTCGACCTTACGCCTGCTTCGAACGAATCGTCCGAATCTCCTACTCCCGCGGAGCCCGCCAATTCCGATCTGCTCAATCCCAAGGAGGCCGCTTCGACCAGCGTAAGCCGCACTGCTTCCATCATGAATCTGACGTCGTCTACCCTTTATGGCATTTATTCTCCGACCGCATTCGAAGGCGAGGGACAAACACCTATCTCGGAAAATCCACCTATCATTAAAACGTCTCCTGAGACGCCAATTCGCCATTCACTTCAGAGAACTCGGTCGCGCCTCAGTCATGGGCTATTCCGTGGAGTGATTCTGCCCCAGGTGTTCCGAAGTGTGCTTCTCTTTGGGTTCGGTGTGGCCTACGGAGTTATCACAGTCCATTTACATGAAAATCACTGGATCACACCCGTGAAGTTGGAGAATATTCGCTACTACGACTCTTGGCAATACCTGGGTCTGTGGGGTCTGGCTGGAGTGGCTCTGGGAAATGTGCTTCCCTGGCTGGATTCCATTGCTGGAGAGTGGGATACGGATCGTTCCCGGACCGTCAAAGGGCAGGAGAACAATCGTCCCCGCGAAGATCGTACTCCTGCTTGGGTTACAGTGGCTCGGAGCGTTGGGGCGTTTGTGGGAATTGCGTTTGCTCTGGTAAGTGAATTATCTCTATTCTTTTGTTTTTCCGATCACTCGCATCTATCTACCTAAAGGCTTGCAACGCTGACTGGGCTCTGCGGCACAGAGGAGACTTCCCTGGGAATCAACAACTCAGGCGTCTGCTACTCTGGCTCTAGTCAACCCTGTGCTGTGGTATCTCATTGACCGCACAAAGGCAGGCTTCCTTTTGTCGACCGTGGTGGGACTAGCTGGGACGGGTGTAGTGCTGGGGCTCAAGCCGGAGTTAGTCCCAACGTCCGCAGATACTCCTGCGACTACCATACCTCTATTAAATGGCACTGTCCTAGAATATGGACTACCGACGGGTCTCACTCAGGAGGGCGTTGCGATCCGCATATGGCTCTCAAGTGTTCTCTTCTGCGCCTGCGTCTGCTTTGGCAACGTCGGCCGGCAACTTGCCATCGGAGGTACAGGCAGAGATAGACTCGATTAGTGGAGTCCATGTCACAGTCCTTCGAATTTTTGCCTATTTCGTGTTCATTTTTACCTCGCTGAGTTTTGGGTTGATCGGCGCCAGGTAGCTTCCTTCAACAGGTTACCATCGATAGATAGGGCTCTTAGCATAGACTAGCTTCATGATAGGACAATGGAATGATCCTGATCACCAAGCCCTAAGCTCGGAGGCTTAAGCTTTGGGTACGAACTTACGAACTTACCATGTCAACGATGTCAGTGGCAACGTCTCCAACTACTCAAGGTGCCGCGTCCTCCACCACTGCGACAACACACGACTGGACACCATACACATTCTCCAGATTCTACAAAAGGCTGTAGAGCCAATCATTGCAGTCCCTTCCACCGAGCTCGCCATTAGACGAGATCAAGTCAGACACTGCACCCAAGATCGACACTTTGCGGTTTCCCACAATCCCTCTCCATTCTATATGACGATTTCCGTACTTCATAGGCCTATCTCTTCCGTAGAAGAGGATAATCCTCGTAGGAACGCTTTTGAAAGAATGTTGTTATTTGCGTTGTTCATGAAGAGAAAAAAGAAGAAAAGAAAAGGAAAGAAGTTTTCAACGGAGCGAGTTTTGTGTTCCGTTTGAGAATTGGTGGTCTGTGCTTTGTCATGTGATTTTGGAGACCTCTTGCGCTGTGCATAATTATGTAAACATGTATTGCATAGCATATGTGGAGCTCATGTGACAGCTCCGGCTCAGGGGACCTTTTGTGGAAATTACATTACACCTAACGCTGTGAATTTACCAAAAGATGAATGGAAGTGGGGTGGTTATTCGGGAAATCATCTGTAATGATACAACCAGTCCGAGAGCGGCCATGATTCTCAGGGAGGAAAGAGAGGATCATGATTGACCCCGCGGTAGGATGCGCAGAGATAGAAAAGCTGTCGACAGACAAATTGTTGCAGGTACTTCTTATTGCTGTGATTGACAGAGACTGGTGACACTTATCTTCATCCTATCCAGACTGTCATATTCTCAGGTAAGAATAAGAATAATAGACTTATCGCCCTCAGGACCCAACTCAATTGACTTCAGGCGGGGCTCCTGTCATGATTGTCATCTGAACTTTTTCACAATACTCCAACCACCCCTCCAAATTTTCGTCGGTGCTCGATTCTGACTCTGTTGTGTCCCAGTGTCCATCACTGTCAGCGTCTCACAATGTCTCAACAAAAGTCAGGTATGTCCATCATTGATATCTCCTCAGCCTCTTCTTCCCCTCACTCGGGGCTTGGGTCTGTTCCTCGCCAAGTCGTACTGGCCGGTTGCTTCCCCACTCTGAGTTTTGTTACTCGTGTGGAATTGAAACGAGCATTGGACTGACTCAAGCTTGTACACTTCTTTTCTATAAACAGCTATCCTCTCCGTCTATGACAAGACTGGCCTTCTGGACCTGGCCAAGGGTCTGGTCAAGCACAATGTCCGTCTGCTCGCGTCTGGTGGTACCGCCAGAATGATCCGTGAAGCTGGGTTCCCGGTTGAGTGAGTCACCAGCTCTTCCCATTTACTCGGAGTATGATGGTTATTGACATGGTATTTCAATTGTTAGGGATGTCTCCGCTATCACTCATGCTCCTGAGATGCTCGGTGGCCGTGTCAAGACCCTTCACCCCGCTGTCCACGGTGGTATCCTTGCTCGCGACATCGAGTCCGACGAGAAGGATCTTGCCGACCAGAATATTTCCAAGGTTGACTTCGTCGTCTGCAACCTCTACCCCTTCAAGGAGACCGTCAACAAGGTCAACGTTACCATCGCCGAGGCCGTTGAGGAGATTGATATTGGCGGTGTAACCCTTCTGCGCGCTGCTGCCAAGAACCACGCTCGTGTCACCATCCTCTCTGACCCTCAGGACTACCCCGAGTTCCTGAAGGAGCTGGAGGCTGGAGAGATCTCCGAAGCCAGCCGGAAGCAGTACGCCCTCAAGGCCTTTGAACACACTGCGGACTACGATACTGCCATCTCGGGCTTCTTCCGCAAGCAGTATGCTGGTAACGGCGAGCAATACTTGTCTCTGCGCTACGGTGCCAATCCTCACCAGAAGCCTGCCTCTGCTTACATGCTCCATGGCAAACTGCCCTTCAAGGCTCTTAACGGATCCCCGGGCTACATCAACCTTCTCGATGCCCTCAACGCCTGGGCTCTGGTCAAGGAGCTCAAGCAGGCCCTTGGCTACCCCGCTGCGGCCAGCTTCAAGCACGTCTCTCCTGCCGGTGCTGCCGTCGGTGTTCCCCTGAGCGAGAAGGAGCGCAAGGTCTACATGGTCGATGACATTGCCGGTATCGAGACTTCTGGACTGGCCCAGGCCTATGCTCGTGCCCGTGGAGCGGACCGCATGTCCAGTTTCGGAGATCTACTTGCTCTCAGCGACGTCTGTGATGTTCCCACTGCCAAGATTATCTCCCGCGAGGTTTCGGACGGTGTTATCGCCGCCGGTTACACCCCTGAGGCGCTAGAGATCCTCTCCAAGAAGAAGGGTGGCAAGTACCTTGTCCTGCAGATGGACGAGAGCTACGTCCCCGCTTCCGAGGAGACTCGCACTGTGTACGGTGTTCAGCTCAGCCAACAGCGCAACGATGTTGTCATCTCGCCTCAGAAGACTTTCAACACCATCATCACTCCTAAGGACTTGAAGGCCCTTCCCGACTCCGCTCTGCGGGATCTCACTGTGGCCACCATCGCTCTGAAGTACACTCAGTCCAACTCGGTCTGCTACGCCCTGAACGGCCAGGTCGTCGGTCTGGGTGCTGGTCAGCAGAGCCGTATCCACTGCACTCGTCTCGCCGGTGACAAGGCCGACAACTGGTGGATGCGCTTCCACGACCGTGTGCTGAACATCAAGTGGAAGGCCGGCACCAAGCGGGCTGACAAGAGCAATGCCATCGACCTTCTCTGCTCCGGACAGACTCCCCGTAACGATGTCGAGAAGGCCGAATACGAGCGCGTTTTCGAGGAAGTCCCTGCTCCTTTCACCCAGGAGGAGCGTGACAGCTGGCTGTCGAAGATGGGAGAGGTTGCCGTCTCGTCCGACGCTTTCGTAAGTGCTTGACCGCTCTATTTCATGTGATTGTATAGCTTGTGCTGATGCAGAGTCAAATAGTTCCCCTTCATCGACAACGTTTTCCGTGCTGCCCGTTCGGGTGCCAAGTACATCGCTGCCCCCAGCGGTAGCCAGAACGACGGCCCCGTCTTCGAGACGGCCGAGAAGCTGGGTATCGTCTTCGTCGAACAGGGCACTCGTTTGTTCCACCACTAAGTGTGGGGAGTTTACTATTGTCTCGGTGGACGATGATACCGCAGTGATGTTTGCGTAGTCTTGTGATGACCCTATAAGTATTACCATCGACAGGCCTCCAAGAGAGTCATGCCAAAAGTGCTTGATGTCTTTGATGTGATTATGGGATGTGTTGGCGTTCTGAATAGCGCCCTTGACGAACAGAACTTGTATAGATTCAACTCAGTACCACTTTATTTATGTTTATACTCTCTGAGATGCCGTAGCTATGTAACAGACCAACAGTAGAGGGACTGTCTGCATCGAAGTATCTGGTACGGAACTTTGCGAGAAAGGTGCCTGGTAATTAGCGATTGGTAGAATACGGTCGACGCCCGTCACTAGCTATATTCCAAGCTTCGCGGTGCGATGTGTTGCGGGTCCCTAACATGATCTATGCCGTTCTGTGAGGACTACGTTCGCGGGGTGGATTGGAGAGAAGGTCGTCGATTGTGTGACTGTCGAGGCTATTTGAGCGGTATTTTCATATAGCTCCCGTTGCCTATCTAAGGCTTGAGACGGTATGAGTAGGACCTTCTTCTAAAGGTCGGCCATGTTTCCTCACACATACCGTTTCTGCAGTTAGTTTGATATCGGTAATCGTGAGCTTGTGATAAATGTATTATACAGTTCTGCATGCTTTCTTTTTGCATCTTGGCAAATTGCTGTCCCTGATTGCACTTTGTTCGGATATAGCTGATAAGGCATGTAAGACTGCTATTAGTTGGTTACCTTGTCAGTGGTGTTGCACTCTATCCGTCGGCATTGTCACGGAAATATACTTGGGATCGACTCTGGCCATGGTTACCAGGACCAAGAACCACTCGCGCGAACAAGGGACGGACCCAAAGAGGGATTTAGCTCTGCACCGGAGAGAGTATCCATCAAGTTGGAAAGCTAATTAAGAGCCATCCCATGTTTCCCGAAAGGTCGAAGGTCGGGTATGAATCGGGTGGTAGTGATCTAGAAAGACACAAGTGGATGCGGCACGGAGGAGATGTAGGTAGGGCACACTGTAATTTTCATATTATTTTAGCAAAGCGAACCACGCTCTAATATCTACTAGCTCGCATAGCTCAGTTGGTAGAGCGCATGACTAGTAATCATGAGGTCAGCGGTTCAAATCCGCTTGTGAGCATTTTTTTTTCCGCTATTTTTTTAACCTTTCTTTAGGATATCATCCTGTCGCCGTGATTAGCACCCGGACGAAGCTCGGATTGCCTCCGTCCCAGTGTATACGCCTTACGTCGGTGTTCGATGAGCGTGGAGGAACTATATAGTTTGCGGAGGTCTAAGGTGCATGCACCGTTGGAGAATCACAACTGATGTAGTCACATATGCATGTAAGAAACTTGGAGAGCATGACGAAGATCAACCGTACGTGTCCTGCATTGCCTGCACTGGTTAGCTCCTGGTTTGTCCCGAGAACCACAACAGTCTGTCCTTGGAACCACGAAGTCCGAGCCGGGGACAGGAACACCCACATCGAGGACCGCTAGGTGGCAGATACTGCTCTGTTGTATAGTCAGAAATAATACTACTCGTTTCCTGCTACATGATGTCTTAACAATCGGTTCACAAGTAGCTCACACCAGTATTCGTCCACTTCAACGCCGACAGCAGTGGTCGTTGTCTCCCCATGGCTTCGAGGTTTCATGTACGTTTTGATGTTGTGACGTTGACGTAGTCAATGC